TGTGTGTGTGTGTGTGTATGTGTGTGTGTGTGCTTATGTGATTATGATTTTTAAAGTAGCTTTAACAATTTTTCAGTCATATCGCTACAATGTCTGCAGTGTGGCAGTTTATAGTGATGTCTAGCACTGGGGCATTATATAGCATCATGTCCCACCCAGTCACATTATCCTGACACCAGGCTAATCAGTCCTAAACACTAACCTCTTAATGCTGAGTGTCAAGCGAGGCAGCTATTAGTACCATTTTTGTAATTCTTTGCTATGACTCAACCGGGAATCAAACCCACAACATCCCACATCCGAGGCGGTGTGTGTGTGTGTGTGTGTGTGTGTGTGTGTGTGTGTGTGTGTGTGTGTGTGTGTGTGTGTGTGCAACTGACAAAAAACTAACTCGTAAATAGATTTGATCAAAGGAAATTCTGGTCCTGTCATATATGGATAAAAACACATTTTGCAGCAAACTAAAATCATTCACACAGGATAAGGACAAAATGATCGATCCATGTCAAGAACCTCATTAACGTTTGAAAATGAATGAGGAAACCAATAATAAGGTGTAATGCCGGAAGAAAGAAATGCAACAATGTTCGAAATGCAATTTAGGCTAGGCGACAGAACGAATGGAAACCTGACAAAGGAGTCTAAACAATTACGTCACTTTTAAAAACAGAGGAACCACAGTCAAAAACAGATCGATGGATAAAACAGAGAAAAAAATCTTAACTTGGCACTGATCATGTACCAGGACTAGAGATCTGGAGGTGTCCACAGAAATAAATATTTAGATTTGGCATGTAGTGTTCACAGCAAGCAATACTCAACCCTTTGTTAATTGTCCAACTTCGCATGTATGCAGCCAAATAAAAACGAATACCAAGTAATTTATCAAACTTTGATGACTACCTATTGAAAGCAAAAATATTTGCAATAAAAGTTCTGGAATTTTTAGTCCGAATAAAAAAATTTGTTCACGCCATTTTGCAACTTTGGATTGTATAAAAGTGTACCAACATTAACATACAATCGTATTTGGTTACTTTGAACTGAAATGGCATAAGTTTAAAATTACAATTTCATACAGTCTGGATACCATGCATCGTACACAGTCTAACTACTGTGTTTCGTACACAATCTGACAACCATGTTTCGTACACAGTCTGGTTTCTATGTTTAGTCCTGTTTCATACGAGTCTGTATTCAGTTTATAATGTCTTTAAAATGTGTATAAATGTACAGATTCGCTTGATACATATTTTTGTACCTAAAATAAACAAGAAAAAAGAATGAAATATTAACTAAAATGAAAAGAAGTATTAAAAGGACACGCTTGACCAACAATTTTCATATTTATTATAATATACAGATAAACAGTTTCATCAACGCCGCCATTTTGCTTAGTAGAGCCCGAATGTAGGAGTAACCTCTCCAGGCTCTGTATAAAATACTAGTAAACAAGAAGTTAACTTGCAGTTAGCTCTAAATGAAAACAAACAACTGCATGATGTATAAAAGTAATTTTAATTCGGTTGTAAATTCTAGTAAGAAAAGCTATTTTGACACAAATTAGTAAAACGAACTGCCTTCTGAAATAAAATATTGTTTTTGATCGGAAAAGGCTTTTGCAGTTTTTCACACAGGCCATTTTAGGAAGGTGTTGTGCCATACTGTTTTGTTTCCATGCCACATAATTTTACCATCCACCCACCCTTATCGATTGGTCAATGACCTTTTCGTGTCTTACTATCACAAATGGTGTTTGTATATTAATGAAGTGCAAATGCTTTTCATTGACATTGAAATATGTACGAAGTAGTTTTATACCTGTTTATATGTGACATACATGTGCAACAAAGATGTAATTCAAACTTTAAAAATATGTAATTATGCATTTTTAAGCATTGTTTATATTTTACAATATGAATAAGCAGTCATCTGTCTATGCAACATGAAAGTATAAATCATATAAAAGATGTGTTTTCCTATTTCACTGGTTTTAAAATTAGATTAGGCATTTTATTATTTTTTTTAAAAAAAAAACTATAAAAATAAATAATATTTCCAGCATTTCAAAGTACTGGACAAAACTGGCTCAATTAGATACACAAATCAATTTCGGCAATGTGATTTAGTTTTTAATTTTTTTATACCATTGGGGAAAAAGTCGAGGGTCGGCACTGAGAAACGGTGGCATTCCACCAACAGGAAAAAGACATTTTTATTACTTTTTTATTTGCCTAATAAACTATATGACTTGACTTCCTACAGTTAAAACTTCTTAGCACACGTTACCCCATTTATTTTAAGTTATCGATTCAAGAACAATAACTTTTGCGTAACGCTAAGCGTACGCATGCGCAATTTGAAACTGTTTATCGGTGTAGTGAGAAAAAGATGATGTTAGTACCATTCTTGTATATCAAAATGGTTCCGGTCCAGTAAAATATGACCAAGTAAAAGAGATCTGAAATGACTTTTTGCAAAAATGTATTTGTTTCAGTTTGTAGTGTTCAGTATCTGCATCCGGGCAATTTCTAGTTAACGAGCCCAGGATGTTCTTATACCTTAAATTAAAGTTTTAAAGCAAATCTAAAGAGACAGACACTATGCCTTCAAATATTAGCAACTATGATATAAACACAATGTATTGGAAGCCCATTAATTTACTGGCTACTTGTCACCGAGTCCAGCTATTTCAAATAAATTACTCTCAATGGAGACTGTCCACGTCCATCTGTATCCATTACATTTCATCACAATTTAATTGCAAAACACTATCGCAATCTTTCAGAAAGAACGATGGGACCCTCCTCTCACCGTCTGCTTGTTTACAATTTTTTTTCATGCAAGCTTTCTAAGGGATTTCAAATCTAATCAGTTTGACTTGCCAGTGGCAGTACATGGCAAACCATTGTTAACCCCCATTGCGACCTGTAAGGCAAAATGTCATACCTTCATTTAATTAAATTGATACACCCGAGATATGCAATAGTTCAATTAATATATGGTTATATCAGATATTTAACTATTTACAGCGTAGGTTGAGACTGGGTGTTTGCGCGTTCTTAATGTAATGAATCCAAGCTGTCTTCGACTTGGAATTATCTATCACGGTAGTCCCAACGGTCCATGTCCATTTGGCCCTTGGCAAGGTTATTTTTGAGCGCAAATATTATCGTTTATGTTGATATCCTCTGTCAGCTGATTCAACACCTCATCTGTTAATTCTGCAAGATCGTCATCGCGTTGCAGTTAAAATTCTGTCACATAAAGTAATCATAAAGGTAGAGCACAAACACCAAAGAAAGTTAAGTACCCGTCTGGATAGAGGTTGAGTCCTTATATCTGAATTTCATTTCCGGCGCACAGCGATCCCGTTTTTGCAGATGTAAAAGATACTGAAACAAAGTTTTTGATTAGATGCGATATTGGAATACAATTTGTCAACCATGGTTGTCAATCCCGACAAAACTAATGTACAAAACGCGCGTTTTGTTGGTTTTTTTTCTCAGTTACTATGAACAAGTAGGATCTATACTCGTTCATCATCAGGATGTGAGGTTTAGACCTATCAAACGAGTCGGTCAGCTGAAACTACCTCGGTTTTCACCTCTGCTTTGCTAGTTTAAATTCCTTTTACTATGTTCGGTTAGGTTGAAACGCGTATTGATGAATGTAGCGTGGATAGCATATGGCCGGCCTTTAACTACACTCCATCGGGTTACAACGCGTATTGATGAACGTAAGGTTGATAGTATCTAGTCGGCCTTTACCTATACATATTGTTTGGTGACCATGTTAGCATGGTCGACCTAATATTTCATAAATTCCATAGATAGATTGAAGAATAACTAAAACCCGAATTCGCTAATGATGATATAAGTCATACAGACTGGTACAAATGGATATATCGCATACACTACGGAGCTGATCAGGTCCAAAGCGACGACGGAAGATATAATAAATTTAGTATGGCGATAAGTGGTTATGTTTTATAACGATTAGAATAATAATAACAACAACAACAATCATCACAAAACAATAACAACAAAAACAAAAACAAATACAATCAAAATATTATTTTCTATGCGACAAAAATAATCACATTTTTTTACAAGAACGAAAACAACAACGCCAACAACAAATGCAACAAATGCAACAACGTCAACGACAAAAGGGAGCAACAAGTGAAGAAGAAGAATGACATGATTTTATTTTTTGATCCTGATAAAGTTGGAAGTGGTATTACTACTCAAGGAAGTGGCCTTATTACTCCATGTCCCAATAACGTCCTTGCCGATGTAGAACGATTAGAAATTTTAATCGGTGTAACACAAGTCGGTAACAATTCTCCAGAAATAATTGATGAAGAAACGGATATTTGCAAACGATTATTTACGTGGTATCATGGATATTAATGTTTATCGATTCCTCATGAATGAAATCGGCTATGATTATCACAGTGATTGAAGGAAGTAATTAGATATGACTATAATAAAATGATCTTACATAATGTTCAATATTGACCGACTATGGTCAGGGTAATAAATTCACGATTACCAGTATACAAAACGATTTACGAAGATGGACTAATTGATATTTTTCAAGGTCTATTTAGAATGATACCCAAAAAGCAAAACCGATTGCAAAATAACTAGGAATGAAAGCTATAGATGTTGTTCGTGAAAAAGGTATTGTTGCTAGTGGTGATTATCAGCAATCAAGTATAGACTAGCACCACTGATGATGATGATGATGATGATGATGATGATGATGATGATGATGCTGTGATGTGATGTGATCATGATTTTTAACGTAGCTGTAACAACTTTTCAGTCATATCGCTACGATGTCTGCAGTGCAGTGTGGCAGTATATAGTGATGTCTAGCAGATATGTAGCATGATGTCCCACCCAATCACATTATCTCGACACTAGGCCGACAAGTCCTAACACTAACCTCTTAATGCTGAGCGTCAAGCCATTTTTTGTAAGTCTTTGATATGCCTTTGACCGGGGATCATATCCCACGACCTCCCACATCCGAGGCGGACGCTCTAACCACTAGGCCACTGAAGCGGATGATGATGATGATGATGATGATGATGATGATGATGATGATGATAATAATAACAACAACAACAACAACAATAATAATAATAATAAAAATAAAAATAAAAATAATAATAATAATAATAATAATAATAATAATAATAATAATAATAATAATAATAATAATAATATACTCAGAATAAGAATCATTTTTATATTTTCTGTTTTTGGTGAAATTTTTACAATTTCAAGTACCATAATACTCCATCAAATTCTGTTGTTTTGTATTAAATAGGATTTTATTATTTTAAATACCAATGACCCACCATGTCATCAAATTTGACTCCTGAGCGAATGGGTGAGAAACATATTCCTAAATTTTTATCTGGGACGAGATATGCACGGTGTCAGTAGAGGTATTAAAATATTTCTTGATTGGTTTTTTACGAAAAATATTACTGTAATGATCTGTGGCGATCATGATCAATCACCAGCCTTTGTTTGACAGTCTCCATATGATTAACTGAAAATATTGGCAAATTAATACGAAGAGATGATCATAGAGCTATTGATGAACCACTGAAAGAACTTAGAAGGTTAATCAGACTGTGGACATATCAAATACAGTGTGAAATAATGCGCAAACTAATTCCTGAAACATTTATGAATGATTTTTGGAAATAATGGAGGCCTGCAAATTTGATATTTGCAAGTAGAAGGATAGTTCGTGATAAACATCAACATTAATTATCTGCTACACAATGAATTTTTTAAAATCTATATGTACCATTGTGTTATCGCCCAGCAGAAACCCGACAACAGAATATTGAAGCTGAGGTGCTAGTTTACAAATGTGAAGGTGGTGGTAATTGTGTGACTTTAGGAATTATTTGTAATTGTTTACGTACAAATCCACGTTGATGAGCAGTTAAATGTTGTCTGTAGATTGCAGGTCTACCAGTGGACCGTACCACACTGGAAATTTTATGGGTGGTCACACTCCAGATAGGATCAGTTGCTTTTTTTTTACCACCTTTAAGTTCACGAAGTTCATAGAAATATCTTACTGTTACATTATATTTTCTAGTACTGGTAGAGAGAAAGATTCACATCATTCACTGACATTTTCAGGTAGTATATATTTCTTTGCAATTGCATTGGTAGGCTTCATAGAAGTTGTACAAGTAATTTAATTATTTATAGCAGCTATCTCACTTAATAATCGTGTAACCCATTCGCGATATCTCTCCCCAGACTTAAAGTCATTGGATATTTCTTTTGCGTATTGATATTCAAAAAATCGCCTAGCAAGTGGTCGATTAAATCGTTCAACGACTGTCTAATCACGATGAATTTCAGCGTGTCCTCGTCTCATTTTAACGTTTTTTCATCAACGATGATACTGCAACAAGAAATCCCTTGCCAGGACAACCTGTAATAACTGTAGCTATCGCAAAGATCCTCGTTGATAAATTCGTTCAAACGCAGATGCAAATTCAGCTTCTTTATATCTACTTTCAATGTCAACGACAGTTAACGCATATTTTTATGTGCGTGACGGATGTTTATCAATTATCTGCTTGACAACTGACACCAAAATGTGCATACTAAACTTTTATGGGTGGTGATAGATAAATTTGCCATATTGCCTGTCGTGCTAGCCAATTTGCAGCAACAGAACGTGAGATATTTGCTGCATCAGCAAGTTTACCAATCGCTGTTCTACTCCACTTATATCCTCTTGGGCTACAATGAACATATTCCATTATAAGTTATATAATTAATTACTAGCCCCAAGCACTAGTGTACCTTTTATAGCAGATTTTACTAGGAAGCTAGCAAGTTTCTCTCTGAGAGATTTATCTTTTATGGAATTTAATGAATGAATCAGCTTCACGTCTGCAATATGTCGTTGGTGTAAATCTTTACTTTTATACGCATTATCATGAACGTGAAATGCCTGATCCCTTGCATTTATTAGATACTCTCCAGGTCTTGGTTGGTCTCGTTCGTCAAGTCAGATATCAAGTCGAGTTCAAGGACCACAATAATTATATCCACGATGGTTTTTTTTTTACCAGGATACTTTTTTGACCATGGAGCTCTTAGCAATTGTCCAAGTGAAGCAGAGATATCACCAACTTTGACTGAAAAATCAAGAGAAATAAATCTATATTTTTTGTGCCAGTTTACACATTTGCCTGTAATTGCGCGTCTTTTATTTTTTGTTGTTATTGCTGTTAATCTATGGGTGGGTGCTCTCCACCGAACACAATATAAATCGATATTTTATTATCGTTATACAAATGGAAGATATTAATTTCACAGCGACGATAAAATAAGAGCCAGTAAAGCATAATCCAGCGCTACCAAATTCTATCATGTGTATAATAGGGCCATCTGGATTTGGTAAAACACAATTATTACCTAATGTGATAATGAGGCGACTCAAGTGGGGTAGATTAAATTTAGTAGCACAATCTGTAGACGATCAACGATGTTATGAAGTACTTAAAGATTTTAATAAAAATGCAAAATTATTGGATGAGGACGGCAACGATATTATTAATTTTATCGAAAATATTGATGAAGCCACATCTGTTGATGACTTCGATAGCTTTATTAATAACCTCGTAGCATATGACGGTGTGATGGTGGAAAAACAATCAAATCCAGCTCGGATATTTTCCAGAGTCAGAAGAAAAAAAATACTGACGTGATTTGTTACTCAGCCATACACACAACAACCTAAAATGATCAGAGACAGCTGCAATATTTTAGTTGTGTTTAAAGAAGCTGATATACATACTCTACGAAATATTCATCAAATTTGGTGTTCAGGGAATATGGACATAATTAGGTTCATAAACTTCTCAAAAGCACAAGATACCCCACGTGGATTTACCACGATAAATTTACATGACCCCAGATTACAGCTGCAGAGGAGGTGAAGGACCAAAATTGAGTTACCCGGCTATTAAACGGAATACGCCATAAAATAAAAAAGCGTCAAAAATAAAGTAAAGAGATGAGTTAACGCAATTAGAGAAACTCTCGGTCGGTTGTTAGAAGCTTCGGTTTGACGTTATTAACCTTGAAATTTAATTTTCGTAGTAAGCTTTATTTTTCAAACAAGGATAATTCAAGCAAGTGGTATGTTCACCTCTCCTGCTAGCTCTAACCGCAAGGCCACTGGAGCAGTCCCATAAAGCAAACTGCAAAGTATTGTACACCATGGCAGTCATGTGCATTACTAATACAAAGGTGAAAGAAAATATCAGACTGACAAACTGAATGATTCCTAAAACGAAATTTGCTTACTGGAAAGGCATTAACTGGTATCTGAAATTCCATACTTCAGATTTTATTTACTAATACTGACGAAGCAACTCCTTTTCCTGTACAGGGGAAGTAACTCTAGCTAATCTATTCACTGTGGGCACCCCAACTTGTCAGCACTTTGTTTTCAGATTGGATAAAGGAGATTCACTACATACTTTTTTATTTTGCTTTGTGCAACAGCAAACATGTTTTCATTGCAATGAAAAATGGCTATGGGACACATGTATACCAGCATTGAAAACAAATATTGCTACAGGTGCCATCAATGTGAACACAAAGAGAAACTGTGAATCATTGTATTTTACATACTAGGAAAGGTTGCAAGAGGAGAATGCCAATGCATCATTTATAACAGACTCCAAATCCAAAAGTACCTATTTAGACTATGGACTCTACACTATTCAATACACATACTATATAGTCAATATAAAAGTCAAAAGATTTTCATGGTCTAATTGTGACTTTGCAGATGCTGATATAAACAGGGTTAATAGCATATTTCTTTCAAAATTTTCAGTTTTTCAAGGTTCAAAATCATGTTTTTCAAGGTGCATTAAATTATACATAAATGAACCTGCATGTAAATGCAAGTTACCCCATACGAGGAACATTTCTTGCAAATTTACTTTTGAAAAACAAAAATAAAACATGAAGTCAGTAGTACGATCATTGATGTCATTCCCATTAATATCAAACACCCTACATCTGGTCATTAGAATAATGTAGTCACTGAACAAAATTGGTTTTCTCTGTCTACAGTACACTATTTAGAAAGTACAAAATATTTTGGAGTGAATTTTTTAGTTCTTGTAGCTTTGTCAACAAGCAGTTTTTCGATAGTTCCAACTTCAGCAATTTTGTCCTCTTCACTTCTCTCGATTTTTTTTATGTCCCGATCAAGGACATTTTCCTATGGATCTTTTGCTTTCAATGCAGTCATCATCAGCAGCAGCAGTAGCTGTGTATCTCAATGCTTTTCAGTATCTTTCTTCTTCACTCATCCCCATAAACAAAAATGTAAAGATCTGTTTTTTTAATTATCACTTATTTAAAAAGTATGGATTTTTAAAACTACTTCATATTAGCTATATTATTTCTCTCAGCTGTATTAAATATTTTTACATTTATTTTGTTCGTTGCCATTATTATTTGTCCTATTTCCACTCAGTTCCAAAATAGAACCGGATTGAACTAATTTCATCATTAAGATATATACAGTTTCTATTTTAAAACTTGAATCTCTGTGTTCACAGACATTCCTCTTTCATCAAAAGTGATATCCTTCTTGTTTTGCCTGTTCTGTCATTAGGCCTACAAGAGCTTATTTTTTTTTTCTTCAGCTGCATGTGACCGTGGAGCACTCTCTCCCTTTGCATAAATGTGACCATGGAGCACTCTCTCCCACTGCATGCAAATCAATATCCATCTGAGATAATTTGCATTTTGCAAAGCTCTGAGAAATATAACAATCCAAACTTTATATTTTTCTTTATCTAGCCACCGAAGTTGGAATCATCAGCCAGCCATGTTGAAGCGAATGATTCCTATTTAAACCACTGCTCTATCCGGGAATCATAAAATTAGAAGTTCAAAATGTACGACTGCACTGTGGCCAGGTGTTGAAAAATTTCTGTTCCGGCACAAACTTTCTGATTTTTTTTGGGGGGGTCCTGTTTTTATTTTATTGAATTCTGTTAAACAAAACCTATTAATTCCTTTTGGTTTCATTGAAATCAAGACTTTTCAAGGAACACAGACACTATTTTGAATTTTCAAGGTGTTTCAAAGCCTTCAGGGAATAATTGCACCAGCAAAATCCTAGGTAAGTACTACATTTCTCTATCCCACCAGCATAAAACTTGGTTAAAAATGTCTTATTCAATTTGATACAAAGCAACAGGACTTTATCAGACTGGTCCATAACTAAACTCTTCAAATCTAAGTGAAAAACGTGTCCATGTCATATTTAACCACATATTTTCACTTGATGCTACACCTTACCCAAACAGGCTTCAGACAGAAACCTTCACGAGAGAATGCCTTGATAGCTTCAAGCACTTCATCAAGGTAGAATAATAGGATCTGTATTTGTAGATTTCAGGAAAGCTTTAGCCATAGTGGATCATGAAATACTATTAAGCCACTGAAAATTTACCAATGTGATGAAAAACAGATGGTTTACTTCATTTTAAATGAGAGAACAAAACACATTTATATAATGTTGTTCTGTCCCACAAGGCTCAGTTATAGGTCCATTATCTTTAATATTATTTATTAATGACCTACCCTTTTACTGAAGGACTCAGTATCATATTCAGATCTCAGCGTAGATGACACATTATTATAAGACATCCAAAACAAAACTGGAAATTTCTTAATAGGATGCCCTACAAAACTGGACAACTCATTCACATGCTACAGCATGGTAGTAAATACTAGTAAAACTAAAATATTACTTGTCTCAGCACCACCAAAAATAACAAATATAGTTAGTGATGAACTATATTAACATGGGGATATGAATTTGCAAATGGTCCTTCATGATAGACTACTTGGTGTTGATAATATCAAAGCATGAACTGACCATAAAAATTATGTCGGTAAAAAAGTTAAGTCAAATTCAAGACTTCTCACTAGAAGACATTTTCTCCCAGAAAGGCACTGGAAACTACAGTTAATAACAAACCTATTACGATCAGTAATCTTCCCATTATATCTTAGGAATTATTAATTTTTCATGACCACCAAATCATATATTCTCTAATTGTGAGATATCTCTTGATATAAATTTAAATGAGGCTTGCTGCTTTCAAGTAAAATTGTTTTAAGTCGATTTATACCAGTTTCACCAAAGTTTCGCTAAATGCCATCATCCATGCTCCACCCAAGAAAAGATGCACGTGAAAAAAAATTATCATTTTCACCTTTTATCTTTCCTTTTATGGCCCTGGGTGGCTAAGTGGTCAATGGCATTTACCCTTACAAACCAATCGAACATCCCACCTCTGTTCACCAGAGTTTAGGTATCAGCATGACCAATGTGATATGTAATAAAGCTTATCAGTAAGCTTCCTATCAATTTGTGATTCTTCCAGAGGTCTTCTTCCACCAAATACACCAACATGTTTTAATGTGCTGTGTGTAAAACAAATCTTTTCCTTAATTTCTAAATAAAACCTTAAAAACAGTTGTGTTAAGTTCTTTTGTGCAGACACACTGCCAAACATCACATGATACGCAAGACCATTTTTAGAACTTTTATCACCAAAGTTAAAGAGCCCAGGGCGAACGGTTAATTGCACATTTTAATAAATAGATTACAAGATAGGTTTCACATTTGCACTCTCTTAGAGATAGGGGCTGTTGGGTGCTTAAATTTGGAAAAATTATACATGGATGGAATAATCAAACAACTGGAATAACTATGGGCACAATATGAAAAACATCCATCAAGTGGACTTGGCAACTAGTCATTTTTGCTTGTTAGTTGGACTGACTAGAAGTAGCTGCCATTTGTAAACTCATATTCTGGATAACTTGAAACTGAAAATTCATAGATCATTATTTTCGTTCTTAAAAAAAAAACAAACTATTTTTTTAAACATTAATATATCATGCAGTTACAGTTTGGTACATTTAAATCAGTATCAAGGTATTACTGCACAATGGATTAAAACTAACCAACATATACTAGGGGAATGCAAGAGTAAGTATAAATTCAATTTTTAAATAATGGGGAGATAACTCCACAAGTACTAGTCTCTCAAAACTGAATCTTGTATATGACAAACTCGATCTTGCAAATACATCAAAAGATTCATGATTATATCTCAACCAGTTCTTAAAATATTGACCAGAGGAAGTGTGACAGATTGGAAGACCAACTTTTAAAACAAGAATTGCTCGAAGGTACACTTTACTGCCTGAAAAGAATTTCCAGAAATTCAAGGTGACAGCATTTCTATTTCTTTCTTTAAACTGCCAAGTGCTGAGACTATCGTTAAAATTCTTTACTGATTTTCCATTCAGCTGTGATAGACATACTGGATGTCATTATTTTTGTTTTGGACAAACAAGGTATAAGAAACCGGATGGAAATCTTGTTTGAAATGTTCCAGTTTTTTAGGAACAGCAATTATTTCCAGACAGAAGCAATGGCAAAAATATTCAACATAAGATTGACACAATTTCTACTTAACATCAACTAGGTCACACGAGAAGTCTTATGGGAAAATCGAAATGTGAAAAAGTCTAGTGATCTAGACGAAGTGACAAGATTTCAAGATAGACATTTTGACAGTCATATTAAAAGGCAGCTCTAATTTCATTTACGACAAACCAGCCTACTGTGAAAACCATACAACCATTCAGTCATAAGAAATATTACAAGACTCAAAACCTGAACATTTGAATGCCATTGTTTGTGTCCAACCAAATAGATACAAGAAATTGTGTAGCAAAACCTTATGCTGACATTATTATCCAATCAGAATTAGTGATAATAGCAGTTTATTTGACATCAGATCACCAGCGATTTCATTTTGGACCATCATAAGAAGTCTACTGGTGAAAGCCACAAGGAAATAATACTTTTCATTTAGGAGGTGATGCTGTTCTGTTTAAGATGTATGCTTTTATCCAGTGTGAGTAAATAAACATCAAGGCCAAAGAAACTCACAATAGGTGTAAATAGGGACTTTAGTGTAAAATCTAGGTCACAGTTAAACTGATATGGTGTAATACTCTCCAGAATGTACAGAGGTCTCGCTAGGATTTTAAAATTAGGAGTCCAGGACTCCTGGACATACATATGCATACATGCATGTATGTATGTACTCAGCCCAATAGTGGCTATAAGGTGCCAACTAAAGGTAAAGTTAAAAAAATATAAAACTGAACCACACAAAAAATATAAGATAGTCATTTAAACATATTAAAATATGAAGTACAGCAAAATAAAAGGTAATGATGTAAACATTCTGTCAAATGTATATATAATACATGATCAAGATAACATGTAAAAGTTTTAAATTTGGACCAAAAAATGTTATGTAACCTACATCCCTAAAAATAGTCTGCATTTTTTTTTTGGTCACTTCACTTGACCAATTTTTACTGCTTGTTCTCTAGGCTAGTTTGGCAAGGTAAAGTGATGCCCATGTTATTACCATTTCCCTAATGCTGGGAAGGCAATTAAAAACAAAGAAATAAAAAGTTTCTGTTCCTCATTTAATGGTTCCCATGAAGACAACAGATACACAAGGTCAGAGACCTTTTAAGAGCTTTGCTGCTTGACCTTCTTGTTGTGTTTCTTGGCAAAGCGCATGTTCTTCAGAAATTTTGGATCGACCTGAAACAAACAGAAGTTATATTAACACAGCGGCTTGAAAGCACATTTGACTGCTTCTTATATAACCATTATTTATGTTAAAAGCAACTGGAAATGTGTTCTTTTTCTATGGACACCCATGCTAATGTGACACAATTTACAAGGCAAAGTTCCTTATCAAACTGGCCACTAAAAAAACAAAACAAAGCAAACTGCTTGCCAGAAAAAAGAAACTTTATTTGGTGTTCTTAAACAGTTACACAGTGGAAATAATTTTTAAATGGGACCATAACCAGGGATTGACACCTGTTAAATATGTATATATCTGCAAATTTACTTATGTCACAGTTTACCTATCTTGGGGAGTATCTGTTTTTTAAACAATAGGGAGATAACTCCACAAGTACAAGTTTGTCAAAACCGAATCTTCCCAGGAGAATCAAGTTTTATTTAAAAAGTTCTTAAAATTGTAGTTGATTCTTTAAAATGCTCTTTCACCACAGCACAAAGATACAATGTTCTTTCTTGAAAATAAAATAATTCTTGAATTCAACGAGAACATTATACACCATGCCCCAAGTTTACTAATCCACTATGTAAGCTTAAATTTTTTTCCAGAAAAAAATTCTTTTCAAACCAGCGACAATGATATCTGGCCTCAAATCAACAGACATCATCCTTTCCCACGAGTCTTCCACCATGTTTGGTCCAACACTGTGAGGTAAAACTATTATCATTGGGTAGAAGTTTTCTACTTTTAGTCAGCGACCTTGTCCTTTGACTCCAAAATTAATAGGATTTCTTCCTTATCACAATTGCAAGTGATCCACAAAATCTGGTCCACGTATGCGATATGTAACTAACGCTACAGTGCAGAAACTATTTTAATTATTTATGCCACGGGAACTATGACCTATACCATTAATCAATAGGGTTCTTCCCCATACCAACTTTAGGTAAATTTAGTAACAGTATGAATGAAAACAACTCAACTTGCTGTGAAAGGAAACCCCATCTGTTAGTTGCCACCATTTTGACTTTTGACCTGCCGATTATAAAACTGAAATACAAGCTATCCCCAAAAATCTGGTAGCTATTTATAATGTAGAACCAATATTATTCTGTGGAAACATTTTGCTTTTTCTCTTTACAAGCCATCAACAAAGTTAGTAACTTTAGATAATGGAGGAATCATGTTTAGGTGCAGAAACTAAATTTCCAACAGAAAGATGGAACCAGTCTTAAACATAACCTCTTAATGCTGAGCATCAAGCAAGGCAGCTATTAGTACCGTTTTTATAAGTCTTTGGTATGACTTGACTGGGACTCGAACCCACGACCTCCTGCATCCAAGGCTGATGCTTTAACCACTAGGCCACCGGAGCGGTTTTGCAGATATAAGGTGAAAACTGGAATTGATTCAGGTCTTCTTCAAGTAATGCATCATTCAAAATTTTTATTTCACTCCATAAAATCCTTTTAAAGTTCTTAAATGGAAACAAAACTGAAAGGCTATATTCTATGTACATAAGGGTTCAAAACAAAATTAAATTTTTGATGAAAGCAAAGTGAAAATAAAACAGGGCAGGGGAGAGAGAATTTAAAACCTCGTACTAACTTTTATTTTAATCCATAAACTTCTTCAAAAAGTATTTGAGGAAATGAAACTGAAAGCAAAATTCATTGTAAAATAGGCAACTCCATTAAGTTTCACCATGAAAGTCAAACCTAGGTCTTTTCAATGTAACAACTCATAACTTAATGCATCTAAATCCTTTAACATTAACTTTGTTTTGTTTTTCTTAACAAACCACCAAATTTCATGCAAAATAAAATAACCCAACATCAATATGCTGACAACATATCAATTTTAGAGATTTATCATAACTAGAATGTTGAGTACAAATATAATTTTTAGAACTCAAGCATACACACACAATTTGAACATTAAAGTTCTCATCAACAACTGGTTATCTTTTTCACCAAAAGAACTTACCCCTTTCAAAGAGGGATATCTGTATGTCTTTGGCCTATAAATTCCATTCCTGTGCTGCTTTTTATCTGTATAAAATAAAAAAGACAATGGTACAAATCATGATATACCTTTCCAAATATTCTCTTTATCTGAACATACATTAATAGTTCTCCAGTCTTAAACATGAAATTTGAGTGGGGTATTCATCGGACATAGCCATTCAAACAAGTCATTTAAATCTTGGTACAAATATCAATTAGTTTTCATTCACTTTAAATTTACTCCATATTCCCACTGCTGCAGAATATTCTCTTTATCTGTTGCAATCTTGTTTATTCGAGTCTTTCCAACATCGGGGCTTCGAGTGGCCGAGTGGTCAAAAGCGATGTCCGTTACGGATCACTGCCATCTCACCTCTGTCTGCATGGGTTCGAGTCTAGGATTCGGCGAATGCGGATATGTGAGAAAGCTTGCCAGTAGCTTCTCGTGGGTCAGTGGTTCTTTCCGGTATTTCCCGGTTTCTTCCTCCACCATTAATACTGGCCGCCATGAATAGCCTATCATGTGCTGAAAAATGGCGTTAAGCCCAACAACAACAACAACTTTCCAGCATCAAATATTTTGGCAATCATTCTTAAACTCTCCCCAATATCATTGGGTCTAATGACTTTTATTTCTTCCAACGTACCAATTATCTGCTCACATTACAACATGTTAAAGTTTTGTGACAATTTATTCCTACGTTGCTAACTGTACAATACTGCAATTTAATTATGCATGTGAAAATTGTGTAGTCAAAATGCCTCGTTTATAAAGTAATACAATACAGTCACATGGTTTTTTGGTCTTTGGTACCCTGTTTTGATCAAGGTTAATTTCTGAATCAAAGAAATCTATATTTAGTCTATATTGACCAGCTCTGGGAGCACGAAACACATTTTAATATACTTTAGCCAATACTTCTTTCAGTAACGAAAACCCTGAAAGTTGATCAAAATACTGTACGAAATAAATATTGGTTCTGCACGCATAATAAAATAAAAGGGGCTGCTGGTGAGGTTAAATTTGACATTTGGGCTAAAATGATGGCTGCATGCTGCCCATGAATGGAAGTTTTTACACAAACTTGTCAGTACAGAGAAAAATGGCAGCACAGGTGACCACTGGCGAAAGGGGTCCGTATAAGATGGGAACCATTGTAGATATGAAACCAGTAGAAAGGAAATCGGGATTTTCTCGTACACAAAAGGGAACTCTTTAATATATTCAGGACTAGAAGGTATAGAATGCAGAGAAATTCTCTACCCCACTGCATCTAACTGAACGTTTGAACACTAGTTTATTAGCTGTAAAACCTGAGGAGTCCAACAACAATTATACAAAAGTAATGTATTGTGATTACATTATTACCTGAGAAAATGGTCATGTTACTTACTCTGGTTATGACTTGTGTGGTTCTTTGACTTTGCCATTCTCTGATTTCTTTTCTACCCCTCTGAATGTGTCCAAATGTTAATTACTGAGATATGAAAAAGAAAAAAAAAAGGTAGAGTACATGTATATGTATTATAAAAGTAAAATGTATAAAATGGCACAAAGATCTTTGTTACTGGCTGTTAATTAAAATCGGTGTTAATTAAAACAGTCACTTTCCAAAAAGCAGAAAAATTATTGGTTTATGATGAAAAGATGTGCTTGGTATGAATAGCATGGTAACAAATAATTCAGTCTAAATCCGATGTGAATCAAAGAATGTATCATATTATCATGACATTGAGTGGTATCAAGCTACTCTTTTGAATAAAAACTTCGTGCAAATGCAACCTGAGTACTTTCCTCGAATAGCTTATGTAAAATATTGGCATGAAATTTTATATGGCTGGACTGCTCAACATGCCACCATTTTCACATTGTTCAGCAAAACAAATGCACATTTTCATTGGTTGACTGAGAAAGGTGCTCATACTGTTTTCATGGAAAGAAACCCTTTGCTGAGCCTTACATTCATGTTTTGAGGCGGTCAAGAAATACTCCAAAAGCTGGTACCCTATGAATAAGCAAGCATTAAATGTACTAAATGTTTTGTTGCTACAAACATTTGGAGAGAATCAAAAATAAGTATGCATTTTTTCGTTTGGTACTTTAAAGCACAACAAAACAAAAAGGTGGCCGAATGGTTAGAGCATCCGCCTTGGATGCGGGAGGTTGTGGGTTCGATCACTGGTCGAGTCATACCAAAACTTACAAAAATGGTACTAACAGCTGCCTCGCTTGACACTCAGCATTAATAGGTTAGTGTTAGAACTGGTTGGCCTGGTGTCAGGATAATGTGACTGGGTGGGACATCATGTTACATGTCTGTGGCATGATGCCCCAGTGCTAGACATCGCTATAAACTGCCACTACAGATATTGTAGTGATATGACTGAAACATTATCAAGCTAGTTTGTGGAAAATATAGGCTGCCAAGTTTGTCAGATATTCCAGAAAATTTAGCCTCTTTTTCCCTAATCCTAAATTGTAATAGTTATACAGATCACATATTTATGTTTTAGTGCTACGTCTTACTACTCAAATAACGGTCTTGTATAGTGTATTCTGATGTCGTTTGACATTGGAGCAAGTAGTCAAAGATTCAGGAATATCCCGCACACTTGGCAGCCCATATTAACCCTCTTCCACAAATTCACATGTAATTAATATACTTACTGTGCCGTTTTTATCCTGATGGAATCAAAATTTTACACTAGCAAATGGACACAATTTCATGTTCTATTCACTTATATTTGAACTTGTTGAACTGCGAAGGTAACTAAAGTACGCCAAAGTATGTTAAAGTAGGTTCATGTGAAAACTTGTTTCTTGAACAAAACAAAATGCTGCTTACAGTTCTAATAAGCATAATATATTTTTATTCATTTCATTAAAGAATATTTCAACTTAACCTAATTTCAGCATTGCTTTCTAGCCAAATTAAATGAAGGCCAACAAAACTTGAAAACGTGTCCATCTTTTTGTGAGAATTCAAATTTATTAAAGAAAAGACACCAGAGTAAGTCTAAAACATCATGACTTCACTTTTGTATAAAAATGTTATTGGTCACCAGTTGTGAGATATTCATGAAATTTTAACTCCGTTTTGATGTTAGTCAATATCAGAACATGCTATACAGCGCCATTAGTTAGGCAGTAAGACCCAGACGCCCAAAAAATAAAAATCAGTTGACACGCTACACAATGCCATTACTTCAGCAGTAAGATGTCAACTTATCAATAAATATTAGGACTCCGATATTCTTATATATAACTCTTAACAGGACCAATATTAGTACTACAACACAAGACCATACATGCCAACCCTTGGTGAGGAAAAAGCGCAACCCAAGTGGACAAAAGGAGTAATCTGGGCAGAAAATGCATAATCCACATATAACATAATTCAATGTGCATATGTACAAAACACATGCATATTTTCCAATTTTGGCATCAGGAAGCATCCGTTTGAATAAAGGATCAAAGCTGTATTAAACTACTAGCTTTAATCAGTATTTTATTAAGAGCTTGGTAAATAGCACCCCTGCATTTATAAAATTCTTTTCCACAGTTTAGTACTGCTGTAAAAAAAAAAGAAGTTACTTTAGTATTGGGGTTAGCAAAACAAGCTAATTCAAAGCGTCTTTGTTTTACACTATGACCGTTATAAAAATCCTTTCCACACAGCCTGCAATCGAAGTGACTACCCTAGAATGACACTGTATTGTGTTATTAAGGTATTCATTTTTTCCGTTTTTTTTTTCTTTCTAATCAATCTGTGAAATTATTTGAGAAACATTTCTGCTGTAACATACACATCAACTAGAATAAATAGGACAACTTTTACCACCAAATTTCTACAGAATGGTTCTGTACCTCGCTTTATTTTTAACAAAGAATATGTGAGCAAAGATAAAATATTAGAAAACCAGTCTGTTTTGTCCTAAGCCAGACAGCGGCTATAAATAAAAACATGTCTTCTTGAAATACGACAGCTGCTATAAATAGAACATAACACTAAGGAAAGTCACCGCTAGTCTACAGACAAGTGTACTTTTATGTCATAATTACTCAGAAGCCATCTTTTCCAGAATATGATTTGTGCAATTAGTGGGATGTTAATAAAATGAGAAAAAATTAACTTTTGGAGAGGATATGGCAATAAAAGCGTAATCCAAGAACATATACGCGTTAAGGCATAATTTAGTGAAAAAAGTGTAATGATTATGCCAAAAGCATAATCGTTCGCATGTATGCATAAGACCCATCACCCAGATATTATTCTTCTGGATGGGTGATGGGTCTTACTGCCTTACTAATAGCGCTGTGAAGCGTGTTTAGATATTGATTAACAGTGTAATGAAAGTCAAA